GGTGGGTGGGTGTTATAGGGGGCCGGTAGGTGGGTGGGTGGGTGTTACAGGGGGCCGGTAGGTGGGTGGGTGTTATAGGGGGCCGGTAGGTGGGTGGGTGTTATAGGGGGCCGGTAGGTGGGTGGGTGTTACAGGGGGCCGGTAGGTGCTCACCCGGTTGGTCGCCGCTCTCCATGCTGAGTTTCCTCTCGAAGCTCCTCCCACTCTCTGACGTCGCTGAGCGGCCAATCAGTGAGCAGTGCGGCCGCCGCCATCTTTACTGCGGGTGTTCTATCAAAATCCCCCAACTCGTCACTTCCGGTGCACATCCTCCACAGCCGGGTCCTGGAAGGTAAGTAAGACAGCCAGGCCCTGGAAGGTAAATAACACAACCAGGTCCTGGATGGTAAGTAACACAGCCAGGCCCTGGAAGGTCAGTAACAGCCGCGTCCTGGAAGGTCAGTAACAGCCGCGTCCTGGAAGGTAAATAACACAACCAGGTCCTGGATGGTAAGTAAGACAGCCAGGCCCTGGAAGGTAAATAACACAACCAGGTCCTGGATGGTAAGTAACACAACCAGGTCCTGGATGGTAAGTAAGACAGCCAGGCCCTGGAAGGTCAGTAACAGCCGCGTCCTGGAAGGTAAGTAACACAGCCAGGTCCTGGAAGGTCAGTAACACGGCCGGGTCCTGGAAGGTCAGTAACAGCCGCGTCCTGGAAGGTAAGTAACACAGCCAGGCCCTGGAAGGTCAGTAACACGGCCGGGTCCTGGAAGGTCAGTAACAGCCGCGTCCTGGAAGGTAAGTAACACAGCCGGGTCCTGGAAGGTAAGTAACACAGCCGGGCCCTGGAAGGTAAGTAACACAGCCGGGTCCTGAAGGTAAGTAACACAGCCGGGTCCTGAAGGTAAGTAACACAGCCGGGTCCTGCATGGTCAGTAACACAGCCGGGTCCTGCATGGTCAGTAACACAGCCGGGTCCTGGAAGGTCGGTAACACAGCCGGGTCCTGGAAGGTCGGTAACACAGCCGGGTCCTGGAAGGTCAGTAACACAGCCAGCTCCGGGAAGGTAAGTAACACAGCAACACAGCCAGATCCTGGAAGGTAAGTGTAACGGACCGTTTTGCCCACAAGAGGTTAAAAACCGTTTAGGCGATATTCCCCCTTTTCAGCTGCACAGACAGCTACTGCAAGCACCAATCTCCCGAACTGCAAACCCACAAATTTACCAACTCCCGAACTGCAACCAAGGGAATACTCGAAACTCCCGAACTGGAACCTCACGAATAGCTGCTAGCAGACGAACAGGAAAAGCCCACAAGCGGCTTACACTCCTGGCAATCAGTCTCTAACAGCATACAGTAAATCCTCCCCCCAATAATGAGATGACACTTCACTTTGAGGGTTAAGCAGGAACTTATTTACAGGGGCTAACTGCCCGGCTTTTATGAAGGTCTCCCACCTGGTGGACACTCCCCTAGGGGAACAAATGGGATACTGGGACACAAAGGGTAAAAGGACCAATCACAGACTTACACATTTCAACCATCCCACACAATCCCTCCTCTCTGTCCTGGAGATAATTGGGAAGTAATTCAATTATCTCCAAAGACAGAGGCAAAACTCCATTAACCACATGGCAGAAAACAAACAGTAAAAGACATAAAATTACCTACAGTTACATTCAGTACATAAAACATATATGTTCTACATATCTCCAGATAGCTCAGGTCTGAGCGCACATTATTAAGCGAATGGCGCTCAGACCACACAAATACAGTTTAATCGCCATGGAGCGATTACACAGTCAGTTTCATGCGAATGGGCTCCATGGGATTCCTATCTGGGGCACAACACACTCAAACAAAACTACCGAACACCGGGCCCTTCGTGCACTTTCACCAAACAAGAAGGGAGGTCGGCGGCTTCAGCGGTGTTCGCGCAAAACTGTGTCCGATTTCAGTTCCATGAATTAAGCGTCGAACACCGCTGTGCATTCGCATGTTTAAAATGGCCGCGACCTCGTGTTCGTGAAACGAATGGCGGCCACCCAGCATTCGTCAATTAAGCTGCGGTTAACCGCAGCTTCAGGGAGGTTAATTGCCGGCACACTCCAGCTCCCAAGTGGTCTATTCATTCGTGCGGTTGTTCGGTAGATTGAAACTACCGAACACCCGGCAGAAAAGCACGAATAAGTCTTTTCTGCAGGGAAAAAATATGTCTTTTTAACATGGGGCCATAGTCCAAAGGCAGCAGGCAAGCAACCAGGCTTCTCCAGTGTACAGTGGCAAGGTTGGTTTTGCCACAGTAAGTAACACAGCCGGGTCCTGGAAGGTAAGTAACACAGCGACACAGCCAGGTCCTGGATGGTAAGTAACACAGCCGGGTCCTGGAAGGTAAGTAACACAACCAGGTCCTGGAAGGTAAGTAACATAGCCAGGCCCTGGAAAGTAAATAACACAGCGACACATCCAGGTCCTGGAAGGTAAGTAACACAGCCAGGTCCTGAAAGGTAACTAACACAGCCAGGCCCTGGAAGGTAAGTAACACAGCGGCAGGTCCTGGAAGGTAAGTAACACGGCCAGGTCCTGGAAGGTAAGTAACACAGCCGGGTCCTGGAAGGTCAGTAACACAGCCAGTTCCTGGAAGGTCAGTAACACAGCCGGGTCCTGGAAGGTCAGTAACACAGCCAGGTCCTGGAAGGTAAGTAAGACAGCCAGGTCCTGGAAGGTAAGTAAGACAGCCGGGTCCTGGAAGGTAAGTAACGCAGCCGGGTCCTGGAAGGTAAGTAACGCAGCCGGGTCCTGGAAGGTAAATAACACAGCCAGGTCCTGGAAGTTAAGTAACACAGCGACACAGCCAGGTCCTGGAAGGTAAGTAACACAGCCAGGTCCTGGAAGGTAAGTAACACAGCCAGACCCTGGAAGGTAAGTAACACAGCCGGGTCCTAGCAGGTAAGTAACACAGCCGGGTCCTGGCAGGTAAGTAACACAGCCAGGTCCTGGAAGGTAAGTAACACAGCCAGGCCCTGGAAGGTAAATAACACAGCAACACAGCCAGGTCCTGGAAGGTAAGTAACACAGCCAGGTCCTGAAAGGTAACTAACACAGCCAGGCCCTGGAAGGTAAGTAACACAGCGGCAGGTCCTGGAAGGTAAGTGACGCAGCCAGGTCCTGGAAGGTAAGTAACACAGCCAGGTCCTGGAAGGTAAGTAACATATCCAGGCCCTGGAAGATAAATAACACAGCGACACAGCCAGGTCCTGAAAGGTAACTAACACAGCCAGGCCCTGGAAGGTAAGTGTAATGGACCGTTTTGCACACAAGGGGTAAAAAACGTTTAGGCAATCATCCCCCTTTCCAGAGATGCAGACACAGCTATTGTAGAACACCAAACACAGAAACCGCCAATAAGTGAAAGCTCCAAACTCCCGAATGGCATCTAATATAGCACTCCAAACACACGAACAGGAACCATACGAATCGCTGCTAGCAGATGAATAGGAAAAGCACCCAAGCGGCTTACACTCCTAGCAATCAGTCTCTATCAGCATTCAGTAAATCCCCCCAAAGACGAGACAAGGCTCCGTGTTGGGGGTCAAGCAGTGGTCTGTTTAATGAGTGCTACCTGCCCAGTATTTATGCAGGTCTCCCACCTGGTGGACACTCCCCTAGGCGACCAAATGGGAGACTGTGACAAAGGACAGACAAGTAGACAATTAGGACACACAGTCACATTATATTCCCACAATGCATCCTGGCTTCCTCCCCTCTGCCTTCGAGATAATTGAGAAGTAATTCAATTATCTCCCAAGACAAAGGCAAATCGCCATTATGCACGTGGGGATACTAACACACGAATTACTATTAAAATACACTATGTGAGACACATAACATTAAAAGTATACATTTAACATATCCCCAGATAGCTCAGGTCTGAGCGCACATTATTAAGCGAATGGCGCTCAGACCACACGAATACAGTTTAATCACCATGGAGCTAAAGTCTTTACACAGTCAGTTTCATGCGAATGGGCTCCATGGGATTCCTGGAAAGTAAGTAACGCAGCCAGGCCCTGGAAGGTAAGTAACACAGCCAGGTCCTGGAAGGTAAGTAACACAACAAGGTCCTGGAAGGTAAGTAACATAGCAAGGTTCTGGAAGGTAAGTAACACAGCCAGGTCCTGAAAGGTAAGTAACACAGCCAGGCCCTGGAAGGTAAATAACACAGCCAGGTCCTGGAAACTAACTAACACAGCAACACAGCCAGGTCCTGGAAGGTAACTAACACAGCCAGGTCCTGGAAGGTAACACAGCCAGGTCCTTGAAAGTAACTGACACAGCCAGGTCCTGGAAGGTAAGTAACACAGCCAGGTCCTGAAAGGTAAGTAACACAGCCAGGCCCTGGAAGGTAAGTAACACACCCAGGCCCTGGAAGGTAAATAACACAGCAAGGTCCTGGAAGGTAAATAACACAGCCAGGTCCTGGAAAGTAACTAACACAGCAACACAGCCAGGTCCTGGAAGGTAACTAACACAGCCAGGTCCTGGAAGGTAACACAGCCAGGTCCTGGAAAGTAACTGACACAGCCAGGTCCTGGAAGGTAAGTAAGACAGCCAGGCCCTGGAAGGTAAGTAACACAGCCAGGTCCTGGAATGTAAGTAACACGGCCAGGTCCTGCAAGGTAAGTAATAGAGTGAGGTCCTGTTAGGTAAATAACACAGCAAGGTCCTGGAAGGTAAGTAAAACTAGTTTTACACTATAGTTAGTGCATTCACTAAGCTTAGGCACATGGGACATTTAGGGTTAATGTTAGGGTTTAAATTAGGGTTAGGATTAGGGACATGTTCATATTTTGTGATATTTCACATTAGGGGAATATCACTAAATTGTGATTTCTCACACTTTATTTAAACCCTTACCCCAAGGGTTAGGGTAAGAATAGAGTGTGAGAGAGGTTAAAAATCACTTACCTAACCTTAATTTGAACCCTCACTTAACCCTAAATGTCCCATGTGCCTAAGCTTAGTGAATGCACTAACTATAATGGAAGTGTAAAACTAGTATTACTTACCTTCCAGGACCTGGCTGTGTTACTGACCTTCCAGGACCTTGCTGTGGAGGAGTAGCAGGAGTGCTAGCACGCATGTGCAGCACAGGATCCAGCTGATTACTGCGGGCGGTGTCAGTATACACCGAGAGGGAGGGGGCCACCATCTTTACTGCGGGCGGTGTCGGTATACACCGAGAGGGAGGGGGCCGACATCTTTACTGCGGGCGCTGTCGGTATACACCGAGAGGAAGGGGGCCTCCATCTTTACTGCGGGCGGTGTCAGTATACACGGAGAGGGTGGGGGCCGCCATCTTTACTGCGGGCAGTATCGGTATACACCGAGAGGGAGGCGGCCGCCATCTTTACTGCGGGCGGTGTCGGTATACACCTAGAGGGAGGGGGCCGCCATCTTTACTGCGGGCGGTGTCTGTATACACCGAGAGGGAGGGGGCCGCCATCTTTACTGCGGGCGGTGTCTGTATACACCGAGAGGGAGGGGGCCGCCATCTTTACTGCGGGCGGTGTCTGTATACACCGAGAGGGAGGGGGCCGCCATCTTTACTGCGGGCGGTGTCGGTATACACAGAGAGGGAGGGGGCCGCCATCTTTACTCCATAAAGCATTGATATTGAATCTCTCTTTATCCCTTTGCATGTATCTCTTCCACTACCTGAAAATAAGCACGGTAATGGCCGCTGGAACGCATAATGAAATGCTAGACTGGAAATGACATATCGGCGTTCAACCCGGAAGGAACATAGTAAATAGTGTAATTGCGAATGAGGCTTGGTATGCATTGCCGCTTAATTTCAAGCCAGAAACTAATGATTCCCCCATTGGAGCGGTATTTCTAGCAGGGAGTAGCCCAAGTAGAGCTGACAAAGACTTTTACCCAGCGTCCGTGGAACTGTTAGTATTTAGACTCTGTTTCTGAACTATTGCTGAATAAGTGTATTTATAGTTTTTGTTTCTGGACTATTGCTGAATAAGTGTATTTATGGTTCTTATCTGCCGTCACATTCTATGTTTCTATGTTATGTTTCATTCAAGGAACAACAATATTGCACTATATGTGTTTCCTCTCACAATATTATATAGGACAGAATACTCAGAAAATTGACTGCAAAGAAGGGAAAGGGTCGCCTCAATTGACCCTAAGGCATATAAACTTGAGCATAGGCATGCGCACGGGGTACGCCTCGCGGCACGCCTATGTATATTGAGACCGGCAGGGGAGATCTCAGGATCTCCCCTGTCGGCTCATGCAGAGCCGGCGCTATCCGAGCGCCGGCTCTGCTCTCAGCCTCCCTCCCCACTGACCCACATGCAGGGAGGGAGGCAGGAGAGGACCGGCGGAGCTATTGCCAGCAGCTCCGCCGGGTTCCTCTCGGGAGATAAGAGCATTGCCACGGCAACGCTCAAATCTCGCGAGAGTGAACTCTAGCCACAGAGGGGCTAGAGTTCACTCTCCACTGGACCACCAGGGATGGAATCAGCAGCACGATCCCCCCTCCCTACAAAAGGTAAGAAGGGAGGGGGATAGCAAGTAATGTACCCCCACCTCCACCCCCACAAACGCACACGCACATACAGCACCCACACACATACAGCACCCATAGACATACACATCACCCACACACATTCAGCACCCACACACATTCAGCACCCACACACATTCAGCACCCACATACATACACAGCACCCACATACATACACAGCACCCGCAGACATTCAGCACCCGCAGACATTCAGCACCCGCAGACATTCAGCACCCGCAGACATACAGCACCCACACACATTCAGCACCCACATAATTCAGCACCCACAGACATACACAGCACCCACAGACATACAGCACCCACACACACACAGCACCACAGACACACACACACACCCACACACATACAGCACCCATAACACAGCACCCACACGATACACAGCACACACACATACAGCACACACACACAGCAACCCAATAATAACATACACAGCACACACACAGCACCCACACACATACATACAGCACCCCACACATACAGCAACCCACACACACACACCAGCACCCACAGACATACACAGCACCCACACACACACAGCTAACCCACACACATACACAGCACCCATACACAGCTAACCCACAGACACACACAGCACACAAACACACAGCACACACATACAGCACCCACACAGCACCCACACACATACAGCACACACACAGCAACCCACACACATACATACAGCACCCACAGACATACAGCACCCACACACATTCAGACCCACAGACATACACAGCACCCACACACATACAGCACCCACACACATACAGCACCCATACACAGCACCCACAGACATACACAGCACCCACACGCATACAGCACACACACATATACAGCACACACATACAGCACACACACAGCACCCACAGACATACACAGCACCCACAGACATACAGCACCAACAGACATACACAGCACCCACAGACATACAGCACCCATACACCGCACACACATACATACACAGCACCCACACACATACAGCACCCACACACATACAGTACCCACATACATACAGCACCCACACACATACACAGCACCCACACACATACACAGCACCCACAGACATTCAGCACCCACAGACATACAGCACCCACAGACATACACAGCACCCTACACATTCAGCACCCACACACATTCAGCACCCACATACATTCAGCACCCACATACATTCAGCACCCACAGATATACACAGCACCCACACACATACAGCACCCACACACATACAGCACCCATACACAGCACCCACACACATACAGCACCCACACACATACAGCACCCACAGACATACACAGCACCAACACACATACAGCACCCACACACACATACAGCACCCTCACACACAGTACATTAACAGCACCCTCACAAGCGCACACACACAAACAGCACCCTCACACACAGTACATTAACAGCATCCTCACAAGCACGCACACACAAACACCCTCACCCACATAGCACACTACCAGCACCGTCACACACACATCACACTAACAGCACCTTCACACAGCAAACACACACACACAGCAGTGTGTGTGTGTATGTGTGTGTGTGTGTGTGTATATATATATATATACACACATATATATATATATATATATATATATATATACATATATATACATGCGGCATGTGCTTGTGCTTTAGGGTGCACACCCTAATGCAATAGGCTGCGCACGCTTATGAACTTGAGCTAAAGTTTTAGCTCAAAAAATTGTGAGTGATTACTTGGCATAATACCTTATATAACAATTTTTTGCACAGTCTGCACTATAATATGTATTTTTATGTTTCCTTTTAAAGGGATACTACGCAAGCACTAGGATTCCAAAGTAGGGAACCTTTTTAATGTATATTTCTTTATACACTGTGTCCTATAGTGCCATTAAATACAGTTCCCATTTAACATTGTTGTTCCTGACCCTATAGTGTCATATCTACCATCTAGCTCCCCTGTGCACTGTCAGGGTATTTATATCGGCAGACATCTTGTGCTATGATAGAAATTAAAAGTGTATATGCTGAGTCACTTTTGAACAGAGCAGACTCCATTTTGTTATTTTCAAGCTAACAAAAGACACAAGATTTCTATCTGTAAAACTAACCACTTTCCCAGAGCTAAAGGAATGCATAGTATATACAAACTAAGGAGAACGGGGGTTGGACAGACTGTCTAAATGCTAATGGAATAGATCAAATCTAAACCCAGACATTTGTGACAGAGAAGATTAAATAATTTAATTTTACTTTTTATATTGTATAACCTCCCATTGTAGTTTAAGGTGAAACTTAGTTTACGAACTGCCATATCAGAAATTATAGCAGGAATTGCGGACACTAAGTCTGGACAAAACTAAGAGAAAACCCTTTGAAGTGAAAGAAAACGTAAGTTATGGCAACTATAAAGATAAAGCAAAATGACGTCAAAATAGCCACCAAGAAAAGTTAACTCTTTCCTGGATAGGTATGTTTAGTGGGACAAGACTGCCCTCTATAGACCAAATACTAAATTGCTATCTGGAAGGTAACCACACCTCCAGTGTTCCTATTGGTCTATCAACTAGTGAATTTTCCCTTTAAAAAGTTAAGAGAGGAGGAAGAAGAGAAAGGGAGGAGGAATACAAGGGTATACAAGGGAAGCAGAGAAGTGAGCAGTCGGGAGCAATGACACTCTAGGACACTCAGAAATTCCTACACACCTCCATGCAGAGAGACATCCAAATAAGTTCCTGAGACTATCTACCAATCGGATGAAATATCTACTCAACTGGTAATTATACTGGTTTCATTTAATTAATTAAATTAATTAAAATTTACTAATAGCATGATATATGACTGGATAAATCACGGTCAGATTTCCATATTTAAGAAATCTTAGTTAACTAAAGAATATATAGTTATAAACATTCCATTCTGCAGGTGGAATTAAGAATAATTATATATTAATGTGATATTATCACGTGTTAGCATACCGCTGTTTTTATCCAGGTGTATTGATTTGCTCTAATATAAGATATCTTTTAGACAAATTAAATTCGGCTTTTGTAAAAGAAATATGGTAGATTCTCTTATTCGATGGTTCCAGGAAATGACTAATGAGCTGGTTTAAATGTTATTTTATTTAAAATTACATAAGAATAGATCTTAATTACCTAGGAGATCTAGCCAGCATTGAAAGGGTTATTCAGTTGATTTAACTGTTAGCCAGGATATCAGGAAAGGCTAGAAGAGCAAATATCTTTAGCTGACGGTTGCTCCAACGGTGCTGAGCGACAGCAGCTAAAGGAAATCCTTTTGGAATTCCAAGATATTTTTGCCAAAGATTCCTACGACTGTGGGTTAACTAACCTCCACGTAGCCAGAATACAAACTGATCCAGGTTTACCACCTGTATTTATCAAACAATATAGACTTCCTTTAGCGTCATATGATGGTCTACAAGACATCATTCAGAATTTAAAGGAAAGGGGCACTATACGTCCAGTGCACAGTTCGTATAATAATCCGATCTTGGGGATTCTGAAACCTAATGGACAATGGCGTTTATGCGCTGACTTACGACAGCTAAATAAACGCGTCTATATGTCTGGTTGGCCAGCGCCATACATAGACCAATGTTTGGTACAAATGCAGGGATCCAAAATATTCACTGCCATTGACTGTGCGCAGGGATATTGGACTGTACCAGTCCATAATGAAGACCAATACAAATTGGCCTTCACATTTGGAAAGCAGCAGTATACCTGGACCCGTATGCCTTTCGGTTACATAAACACTGGTCATGAATTCGCTGTGTTCATGCATAAAGCTATGCCTGACGCACTCAAGAGAGGAACGTTATCATATGTCGACGATGTCTTTCTGAAAAGCACTTCCTTTGATAAGCATATCATAGAGATTAGACATGTCCTCACTCAGTTAAGAGAGGCAGGGATAAAATTGTCTTAACAAAAGGCACAATGGTGTCGCACCCATGTCAATTTCCTCGGACATGAGGTAACTTCTGAAGGATTAAATCCCCAGAGGAAGAAGGTTGAAGACGTACTAAAGGCTAAAACACCTTCAAACATCAGGGAATTAAGATCGTTCCTTGGTATGACTAACTACTCCCGTAAGTTTATAGATAACTATGCAGAAATAACTAAACCACTCTTACATCTGCTTAAAAAGGAAACTACCTGGAACTGGGGGGAGCCTCAGGATCAAGCGGTAAGTGAACTGAGGAGGAAGCTCACTCAGGCACCCTGTTTAGCATACCCAGAGGGGGGTAAACCCTTCTATCTGGAGACAGGTTATACCGATTTAAGCATAAGTGCTGTTCTGTATCAGAAGCAGGACAGTTTAAACAAAGTTATTGCATATGCTAGATAGACTTTGTCACCTGTTGAAGTTAAATTCAACACGTGTGAGAAGGCGTTATTGTCGACTGTCTGGGCACTACAAAATTTTCGTAGCTATATCCAAGGTGAGAAAATAATTGTAGAAACAGCTCACCAACCTCTACAGTATCTGCAGAGTGAAAGAATCAGAGACGGTAATATCTCTAACAGTCGGATTACTGCATGGACTCTATCCTTACAGGGATGGCCGCTAGAAGTCCGTTATAAACGTAATAAGAGAAGCCCAGTTGCCCAAGGTTTAGCAGAATTACATGACTGTACTGCTCCATCTCTGGATGATAATGACACCAGAGATGACTTCCTAGAAGAGCAATTGCTATCTCCTTATAAAGTTTATGACGAGGAATACTGTCGACCACTACCGTGGGTATACATTGATGGTTGTTCATATCACCACGTCGTTGGTGCTGAACGGAAGTTAGTTGCAGGTATCGGAATCGCCTGGACAGGTGATTATCCCAATGTATCTATAGGATACAATATTGGTCCCAAAAGCAGTCAGATAGCCTTACTCTGTGCAGTATATAAGACCATTCAAATGGCAATAGAATATGGTATCAAAGAATTTGTTATCATAACTGATTCCAACTATGTTCGCAACAGTTTCGTCGAATATCTGCCTAGCTGGAAACGTAACCAAATGCTGAAGAACAATAACAAACCTGTTAAACATGGGAAATTGTTTTGTAAAATCGATGAGTTGGTTAAGGAAAATGGTTTAACCATGTATTGGAAGAAAACCAAAGGCCATTCTAAAATAGAAGGTATTGACAAGGAATGACTTAGTTGATTCACTGGCAAAACAGGCAGCCATCAATGGTGAAACCCTAAACATTGATGATCTTATGGGTTCAATTCATGTTGAAGCCATAACTAGACGACAGGCTAGAGATAATGCCGACTTAAACGTCGTGCAATGGA